ATCCCGAGATAAGATAAGTACATATCACCACGAGTGACATATACACGAGGTCGAATTTTAAAAGTTCTCCTTCAGATGAAATATTCCTGAAGTAAAGTTTGCATATCTCCCCTGAAATATATTATATTCCCGAGATTGAGTTTAAATATCTCCCCGGACGATGTATTAGTCTAATTGACAATTTGATATATTCTAAATTTTATTGAGTGTGATATTGCGCAAAGCACGAAGTAAACTAAATTACTTTCCGTAGAGATTATGGCTCCGGGAATAAACAATTGTTCTACTTATTAAAAGCATTAGCTCTTGTATTGTATTGTGTCCTAATTCGAGTTTTTCAATTACTACACCACCATGCCATATAAACTAGTTAATCCTGAAATGTTCAGGTTTTGGCATATTAATATGGGGACGCCCATAAAATATTATGGTGGCTTGAAATAAAGAATATACTACGGACATTCGTACGATATAAGGATCCTTATGTCCAAAGAGAATTTCTGTAATTTATAGAAATCTCGTTATATAACCTTTTGTGCAAAAAGGGTTGATAATATTTCTGGACCAATGCAACATTCTAAGTGGACCAATATTTTAAATATTTATGATTTTGTTCGACGCATCTTATGGATGGTCTCGCGTATGTTTATTGTATTCATGCAATATGATTGCACGTTTTCTACACAAGTTACTATACCCCGTGCATATGTGAATGGACAGTGCCGGAGAAACTAGATCAAAATAATTTTGATGAGATTTATGCAGAGTACTTGGGATAAATATCAGTATTTTGTAGCACACGCTCACACTCATATGGATTAATTAAATCCACTGAATGAACGAGTCATGATAAACATGCTCCGGATAAATATGTAGAGATTAATCTCTCGACTAAGGGCAATTACAATTATAAAATTTCGGGATGATTAATCCAGTGAATCACGTTCAAAACAATAGAATGTCGGTAGAGTCAAGTTTGGCCTAAATGCGAGAAAGCGATTAAATCGGAATTGGCTTTCCCAGAGAAACGAAATAAATACGGATTAATGGTACCAACTCCGAACAATATAAATTCCCTAGATATAAATGGGGTTTTGTTTGTTCGTTAGAGGAATAATAACAACAAAATTGTTCATTATAATGTGTGCCTTGTAAAATATTGATTCTACCGAGTATATGGGAATGATTATATTTAAATGTATTTACCGGTACATCATTTTTTCGTTTCCAAGGGTTGTCCACGAGGGAATGGACATACGTCTAACAGACATTCTAATGTTATCTTTATGGTTCACTGAATTTTGATATTGCAAAGACGAAGTGATAATATGTTGCACTCTTTTTCCCTTTCCGACATAAGGTTTTTAACGAGGCAACTTATGATTATTAAATAGCCTATTTCGGAGGCCTATATTATTTGTTTCAGGGAGAGCACATAATGCTATGATGTGTTGTACTCTTTTTCCCTTTTGACTGGTTTTTTCCCATAGGGTTTTCCAGCTCAAGGTTTTTAATGAGACAACCTACAAATTGATTGACAGCCCCGTATTGGGAGCTTATATTGCTCATTTCAGGGGGAGCAATAGTGCGCTGCACTCTTTTTCCCTTACGACTGGTTTTTATCCCATTGGGTTTTCCAGCTAAGGTTTTTAACGAGACAGCTTATGCACACGACTTGGATTTGATTCATGTACTCTTTTTCCCTTCTGATCGGTTTTTCCCACTGGGTTTTCCGGCTTAAGGTTTTTAATGAGGCATCAGTTAAGTCGATACAAATGTGCTACGTCCAAGTGGGAGTGTTATAATATTGTGGACTTTAGCAAATGGGTTATTAGTCTTTTGACAAGTGTTAGGACATGTGTAGTCATTTCCAACAATGTTAGATGAAATGTTGACAAGTGTTAATGATGACTTATCACTTTGTATCTATAAATACATGTACAAGTGAATTAATAAAACACAATTTTTGGCTAGCATTTCTCTCTCTCTCCTTATACACTCTCTCTATCTTTCCCACTCACATTTATATTATATTATATTGTAATGATATTATATTATATTAATTAGTATATATACATATATACATATCCGTATATACTAATATATATATATGTATATATATACATACATATACATAACCGTATATACATATATATATATTAGTTACACATTGATAACTAACTAATACTGATTAATTAATAATATTCACACCATTAGTGTTTATACTATATAGAGCTTATGGGAATTATTTCACAACAATATTTGTTTTTTCTTTATTTGGAACTAATTATCTTATGTAATTTCGTAATTAGACTTATAGTCCAAATCAAACAGGCCCGAATAGAAAAGGATCAAGCTAGCCCATGTCCAAGTAGGCCCAATTTGATACTTTTAAATAAATAAATTGAAATTAATATAGGAACATATCCTAATTAATATATAATAATAATAATACGCATATATAAATCTTAGAAAAATGAAATTTAAAATTGAAAAAAAATTATTGGCTGCATAATGATTGAATAGTTCGTGTACGGCCCCTGTACGTTTGTATCGAAACTTCCTCGAAATTTCTTAAATAAAAACCGTGACATGCAAGAAGACACCAAATTTCTATTTTTGGCCATTCTCTAAAACATAAATTATAGTGATAAGTTTTCTTATTCTTCAACTAGTGATTATTCGTTGCATGTTTGAATTAGAAAAAAAAAGGTGAGAAGATAAAGTCAGAGTTCTGTTGGAACCAAATTATGGTACTTAGAATTATAAGGCATGGTAACTTTCTGCGAAAACGTCAAGTAACTTACTATTGGCGCAAGAACGAACATCATATAAATGGACAAACAATTACGAATCGCTATTTTCAGCTCGTGTCCAAAACTATGTTATGAAGACCCATATTTGATAACTCATCATATCATAAACTATATCGCTGCAAAATACAACGACTATGTTATTTCCTCGAAATTTCATCACAGCATGAGTAATGCAATAAAACGCCGATGTCACACGCAACGTTTGTAGCTATACAAGTTGTGGAGCCTAAAATAAATAATACATGTTTCTAGCTATACAATGTTACATTCGGTGAAAAATACCAGGTGATCTTGAACCATTGATTTACGCGTACGTGTTCTTAGTGGTAGTTATTTGTATAGATCTATGATGCAAAATTGTCCGATGATTTTCACCAGATATAGCATCTCATAGACTGATATACATATAAATAAAATGAATTGAAAATGAGTTTTTAATGCAAGAATGGGCTGAAATTAAAAAAAAAATTTAATGAGCTGTGACGTGTGGGCCTATGCTAACTAAATAGTGAAAAGATGGGGAATTCTTATAAGAATGGCCCATTTATTTGGACAGCCCAATTAAGTATACCGGGCTTATATTTAGGAACCCAATTCTTTTTTCTCCTTTTTTTTTTTTTTTTTATTTTAATAATTCAATTGACACGTCTGCAAAAGAAAACAAAACGTTGCTGATTCAGCATCGTTGAGTTCGATGACAACTGACATAGCTCTTACACACAGTGAGTGAGAACTGAGGAGAAGAAATGGTCGGGCCGGGTCGACCACAGTTCGTGTTATTCGGGTCATCCATTGTTCAGCAGAGTTTTATCGATGGAGGATGGGGAGCTATTCTTGCCGATCTCTACGATCGCAAGGTGCGTAAGCTGAAACCCTAATTTCGTTTTTTTCCCAATTCATTTAATTAAAACTTAATACACAATCAAGCCTAGTGAATATTCATGTTTGGATTTCTGATTGCATGAATATTTATAGCTTTAATCAAGTAATTGTTGCTGAATAGAAACAAGTTCCGCCAAAGATTCATTCTTTACAGTAACTGTGTTGATTCCAATTTATGATTTTGCTTGCATTCTGATCATGGTTAATTTATTATGAGTGGCAATTTAATATAATTTCTGCCCCATTTTAGGCAGACATATTTCTGCGAGGATATTCCGGGTGGAATTCGAGGCGCGCTCTTCAAGTTCTGCACCAAGTTTTCCCAAGGGTATGTGCTTGATCATGAGTATTTTTAATGGTGGTCAAATTAAATATAGTTTTTTTGTTAATTGAAATTGAAACATGGTTTAAATCTTGTTTAATTAGGACGCGGATATTCAGCCGTCTCTGGTGATTGTATATTTCGGTGGCAATGATGCAATGCACCCTCACCCTAGTGGCTTAGGTGCTCATGTTCCTTTACGTGAATATATCGAAAACATGAAAAAGATTTATCTTCATCTCAAGGTAACTTACGTTTTGCTTTTATTTCCGTCCAATTATGAAAAATAATTATATTATACGTAATTACCACTAATTTTGCAGAGTCTTTCGGAGAACACGAGGATAATTTTTCTCACTTCTCCTCCTCTGAACGTGGCAATGATTCGTGAACATTTCGGGTGATTTAAATCTTTAACTTAAATTCGCCTTTTAAATTTACGTCTCGGGATTTTAGAGTTTGGTCATCTTAGTATTTTTTTCTCGGCTTCTTGTTCTAACCAGTAATGCACACGATAATCAAATTCGCACAAACGAATCATGTGGTGTGTACGCTGATGCTTTAGTGGACTTTTGCCGACAATCGGATATTAAAGTCATCAACCTTTGGAAAGCGATTCAGCAAAGAGAAGATTGGGCAACAGCTTGTTTGACGTAAGTTTTTATGATCTTTGTCTTTAATTTTAACTAGATATTGTTTCCGCTTCCGCTTATGACTAAGGGTTAAAAAGGTGCGATCGTGTTATTTAATTATTTTTTTCCTTCGTATTTTACGATTGTCATATGTATAGAGATGGAATCCATTTTTCGCGAGAAGGGAGCGAAATTGTAGTGAAGGAGATATTGAAGGTTATAAAAGAGGCTGGTTGGGAACCGAGCCTTTATTGGACAACAATGCCAAATGAATTTGCCGAAGATTCGCCTTATTACATGGTCCGCAGTGATGGTAAAACCACCTTCAATGTCTCTAATGGAATTTCTCGATGGAAAATCAAGTGGACGGGTAATGAAATTAAGTCAAAGCTTTGACCTTTAGTTCTACTTCTCCCTAAACTATGTCTTGTACACATAAATTGAAAGCTGAATTGTATGGTTAATTTGGTCTGAACGGTTCATGTAATCAACTTTCGAATATATGTTTATTGGTAACTATTTATTTTACACATATCCACATGTACGTCAGTACGTGGGTGTAATCGTGTCCAAATTCATCGATACTACTCTGTCTAACTCACCGAAACCCCAATGTAGCATAAACAAGACCGTTTGTAGCTATAATGTTTTTTTTTTCTGAGTTGAATTATTCATTTGGAAACGGCATTAGAATTTGATCATAGTTTTTACACCCACGAACCTCTCGATTATTTCCATAAAAAAGACAAGAAACTCGAAAAGAAATACTCATTTGCTTTCAAAATTGTTTTTTTTTGGTAGTTGGCCTCTCATAAGTCATAAGGACATATTCAGAAATAAATGATTTCTGAATCATTATTTTTTTCCTTTTTTCCTTTTTAACAAGTGGAAATTTGGTTTGTCTGGACTCTGGATAGGACTTGCAAAATTTAGGCATGTTTTGCACGGATGCCTAAAAAAGGAATATTCTCTCCTTTCCTTTTTTTTTTTTTTTTTTTTTTTTTTGGTTTTCTTTTGTGGTGAATTCAAGTTGTGTGTACTCTGTTCAGAAACGTTAAAGAAGCAATCCCCAGACTCAGAAAACTCTCCAAGAACAACAATGAGAGTGAAGAATATGCTCAGCATTTGAAATCAATAATCACACATAGTTACACACACAGTGAGTGAGTGAGAGAGAGTAGAGAGAGAAAATGGTGGGGCCCAGTCGACCGCAGTTTGTGTTATTTGGGTCTTCAATTGTGCAGATCTCCCTCAACGTTGGAGGCTGGGGTTCAATCCTCACTGACCTTTATGATAGAAAGGTATTTATTTCTTTTCTTTTATTTTCTTGATTTTATTTTATTTATTCTTCTTCATCTAAATTTGTATATACAGTTATATTTTGTGATTTGTTACTCAAATGAAGTTAAATTAATGTTTTTGGGGTCAATCTATAATTTCGTGTTCTTCGGATCCTTTTTACAATGTAGGCAGACGTAATATTACGAGGCTATGCCGGCTGGAATTCGAGGAATGCTCTTCAAGTCTTGAATCAGATTTTCCCACATGTACATTTACATTAACTGCATCTCCTAATGAATTATATTGACGAATCGGTTCTGTAATATCTATATCTAATTCGCCGGTTTTGACAGGATGCTGGTGTTCAGCCGTCTCTGGTGATAGTATATTTTGGTGGGAACGATGCAATGCGCCCTCACCCTAGTGGATTAGGCCCTCATGTTCCTTTACATGAATATATCCAAAACATGACAAAGATTTATCTTCATCTCAAGGTATAATAACACAACGCCGTCGATACCGTTAATTTTTAGGAATTTATGAAACGTGTGTTGTCTTTGTGCTAATTTCGACCCGTTGCTTCTATGTCTACATATATATATATATATATATATATATATATATATATATATATATATATATATATATATATATATATATAGATATATATATATATATATATGTATTTGCACATACATATATCTATATAAAAAGATGATGTATACTTATATGTACATGTGTACATGTGGACAAGATTTTGCTCTTATATTCTTGCGGATAAGATCAACTGCTTTGAATATTATAGTCAGTGTTTTATTTTCAATATATATGACGAACAGAATTATCTTTAAAGTCTCTCTCTCGCACGTCAATGCGTATGATAACCCAC